ATTTATATGGTATAATAATAGTAAACCCGTGGAAGCCGTAAGAAATTGTGCATATTGAGGATATCTATAATTCTATCAAAATATCGTCCATTTTCGGCCAGATGGGCAAACGGCCAAATTCAGACGTCATTTTTAAAACAGGTTGACTGAATTTTCTGGTAAAAAAAAATAGTGATTACTGAAGGGTTTATTTTTTTACAATGTTTTGTTCCACTCTGGAACATCTTCAGATAAGGAATGAATTACAAAATTACACAGGGTGTAATTTTGTTTTAAATGCACATGTGGAAGAGGTGAAGTTGTGTGGGGTGATGTGAAGGGTCAAAGAAATATAAGGGTAATCAAACATAAGGTAAGGAATAGGGGAATAATTGGGAATGATGCTAATCAAACACTGGGTAAGGGGGTGAGCTGGGAGAACTCAGTAGAGATGTTAGTGTTATCCTGTGGTGTTTGGTGAGGTCTAGATCTGGCCGTAGGCAAGGCATCGAAGACATTATAATAATAATAGTTCATATTGTGTCGGAGGAACGGCAGCCAGTTTATACATACAGTACATGCATGGCTTATATCGAGGTCCCTTACCCCCAGGATCGAACTACTGACTTCCCCAGGATGCAACCCTACAGCAAGCTGAATAACTCATCGGTACCTATTTACTGCTAGGTGGACAGAGCATTAGGTGATAGGAAACATGTCCAACCATTTCTGTCCCACTCGGGATTCCAATCTGGAATTCTTGATTGTGAGTCGAGAACGAACGCAGCTATACTACAGAGACCATTTTGGTTATTCTGTATATTTAGGGTGGGCCTTTCTTTTTTATGAGTATAGCTTTCAGCTTTCAGGTCTTCCCTGGTCAGTGGTGGATGCCAGGATTGTTGTATTATCTACTAGCATGTTCCTAATGAATGTTGTGTTATGTGCACCTTGTATATGCTTTGTAGGGGCACCAACTTGTAGATGGCAGGTCAGTCTTCTCGAAAGCTTTGTGGTGGTCATACCATATAAGTAGATCGAAGGTGATATATCCTTCATTGGGGCACGTAAATTGGTATACCACGTTTGCTTTTTGGAGAGGGTTGTATTGTGTATTGTGGTTGTTCTTAAGTATTAAATCAGCAGTCTGTTCGTAAGTATTTATGTGTATTGCCTATGTTCAGATCCAGATCCAAAAACCAAGAATAGTCACTATACAGCTGCCTTCACCGTAGCAACCAGTAAGCAAGAGGCGCCAGGACTCACACCCTAGATACTGCTTGGTATGAAAACAATATATTTGTAATACATCTTACGTATGGTATATTGAATTAAATTGTGAATTACCTCAGCACAAGATTCTCAATAGGTCAGTAAAACAACTATTCTAGGATACATTCATAATTAGTCCTTTATTTATTACTGTAAGGTGTTTATAAATTTACAAGGTACCTTAAACAGATGGAAATGTTGTTGGGTTATGTGACAAATGTTATCACGTCCTGAACCTGCGCGCACGCCAGACACACTCGTTATTATGGCACAGAGAAACAACTATGAATATGCAATATATGTATGGGAAAACATCAATATTTTCATTGAGTTTATTAATTGTATGGCAATTGTTGGCAAGAAGTATGGGGAATATATCTTTACATACAATATTTTTCAGAGCTTAAGAATAACACTTAGGTACAATTTTTCTAGGACGATAGTATATTATGTATATAAATCAACGGAACTAAAGAACCATGTATTGATTCTTGTTATATTATGGAAACTTTTAAAAATACATAAAACTGAAGACACATGCAACTATAGCACTACAATAGACCATTCCCTCTGCCAATTTGCGTGAGCTTAGCCCTAAGAGTGCAGCCTCCAACTTCTAACATATACAGACATTCACTCTGATAGTATAGATATGACAGAACAGCTCTACAATTTCCAGGTAAATTGGTAAGCCTATATGGCTTGGTTTCCATTGTTGGTGACAGGAAGCCTATAGGCGTATCGAAGTTTCATTAGGCAAACGATTGACCTCCAAAATACAACCCACAACAGTTACATATCTCCCAGGTACCTATATACCGATAGTTGAACAGAGGCATCAGGTGTAAGGAAACATATCCAAATGTCTTGTCCTGCCCAGGAATCAAACTCTGAGTCAATCGGTTGTGAGTCAACTACGCTAATTACTTCACTACAGTTAAAAGAATAATAGTGAATTGTAATTCTTGTCCTAATGTGTACAAATAATCAACACTAACCTATGTAAGACAGGCTTTATAACATACCACATAACAGACACGTACAGTATGACTATAAGATAGAAATTGAATACCCATTGTTGGGTGTACTAAATAGGTCAACATTTCTGTTCTGCAAAAGAGATTTATCACTCACTCTCCACCCAGCACCTGACAACTGGGTGGACAGCGCTTCAGATTCGTAGTCTTGAGGTTCCGGGGTTCGATCCCCGGTGGAGGTGGAGACAAATGGGCAAAATGTTTCTTCCACCCTGATGCCTCTGTTACTTACCAGTAAATAGGTACCTGGGAGTTAGACAGCTGCTACGGGCTGCTTCCTGGAAATGTGTAACAAAAAGGAGGCCTGGTCGATGACCGGGCCGCGGGGACGCTAAACCCCGAAATCATCTCAAGATAGATAACCACTCAGCTACTTTAAATATCCTTGTTTATTTCTAGTAGTAAAATATGCATTGTTAATTATCTGTCAATGATATGTTCGGCCTTTTGAATCTGTAACGTGAAATCAGTTTTGTCCATCCTCTTTGTGTCACTTGGGACAGCTCAGGCGTGAGACTTGCTGTATTAACTGTAGTGTTCGCCCTCAGAGAAACACTTGATGAGCTCCACATCATATACAGTATTGGGGTATAGTTGCGTTAAGAAAGATGCTGCTCTCTTCTAAGCCCAAGTAGGGATAGCGTTACACTAGAGGTGTGCCGATACTAATATATTTACTAATACCGCCTTTACCCTTAAACAACTCAACTATTTAAAAGTCGCGCATAATGGTTCGCTTGATAAATGTTTTTTTTTCACACATCAAATGTTTAAAATAAAGCGATTGGAACCGTATAGTGGCTGATAATTAACACTGATTCTATGCTATAAAAGACTAATAATCGGATATAGATGCTTGAAGTTTTTTAGATGTTAGAATTTATTAAGAAATGACATTGTTTCTCATGATCTCAAGGTGTATAAACAATGACAATCAATTAGTAACCCTCAGTAATAACAATAATTATCATAGCATATCCATAGCCATTTTACATAGCGACTCAGTCATGGTCGAGTGGTTCAGGGCAAGATACCTTGCGTTCCTTTTATGATGAATTTAAAACTTTAAATAGAACCATGAGCGTACTTTAAAAGAAATGGATACCTTGCTGTAGAGTACAAAATATGTCGCAACACATTTACGATATTCTCCTTATAGTTTTGGCTGAGAGGCACGACTAAGGAACTGATGTTGAACCAACACGAACATACATAGATGAGTGTGAGGCATGAGACGGTAGAGCCGAGAGTGGGCGGAGTGAGTGTGGGTGAGGAAAGGGGTGGGAGGAACAGATATGGTTGGGGTTTATGAGTGAGTACTTCTGCCTTATTGATTAGGGCAAGAGTATTAACCTAATTGTGCTAGGGTTGATCTTCGGCTCTTTGGTTCCACCTTTTGGTCTTCAGTCAACTGCAGTATAGGTTTCCATGCCTCTTGTGGTTTGCAATATCTACATTTGAAGTTGTGTATGGAGTCTACATCAACCCCTTTATAATGCACCCTATTTGTTCGCTATTATGACACTGAAAAATAATTTTATCATGTCTCGGTGCTCATTTGGATACTTCGATTCCATCAGCGTCCATTGGTTTGTGTATCGCCCATTCCAGATAACGTCTTCCCTGTCAGTCTCCCTGAGAATTTTATATGCTGTCATCTCTCCACTAACTTTAGTCTTCCAGTAATATGAAATTAAATTCTTCTTGTTCTTTTTCATAACTCAGCCCCCTGAAGGTCGAGACAATTGTAAGACTAAGGCTTGAGACAAGTTGGTGGAGAGTATCAACAAGTCGGCGCCATCTTCTGTTGTAGCCTACTATGCTCAAGAAGCAAAAATGCTTTAATCCTGCACACAAATTAAAACCATTTTAATTGGTTGTATTGCACACAAATTGAATTTTGTATGAAAAATTATTGACTGAACAGGGAGAAATCACGCGATTTATTAAAATTCGTGTGATTATACCGCTGGATCATTAGTTAATTGTTGCGGAATGGTAATGGTAGCAGCGTGGATATGCGGCAACATTTAAAGTGATGTGAGGCTGCACGCAACAGTCACTGTTAGTGTTTTAACACATAATTGTACAGCACAGTTGACAACACAGCACAGTACAACACAGCTCGCTATTTAATTGTTACTTGTACTTCACAGTTGACAACTCAATACTTAATTGTTACTTGTACAGCACAGTTCACAGCTTGTTGTACAACACAGCTCCCTGCTCATTACTTGTGATACACAGCTCACTGTTGCTCGTGCAACATGGGATGTAATACTATATACATTTATGCATGCGAGAAAAAGTATATTGTACATAATGATCAATATAACAGAAGACTGACGTGAGGACCAATAGACGTGCAGCGAAAGAGGTGTTTTAATAGTATATAAGTTGGAGAAACTTATTTACAAAATAATGAGAATTAAATAATTAAATGTATTAATATATTTACATACATATATTTTAAATATACTCTAAATATAAATTAAATATATTCATAGTAATTCTTTTTAATCTCAGCTATTGTCCCAAAGAAGGCCAGGTCCTAAATTTACTTAGTAAAATAACATACTGGAGTGACAAATATGGAAGGAAATGCAGAATAGGACCAATGAAGAGCAAAGGTGCCATAGGCACAACCAGAGAACACTGTACGAACATCAGAAGTCCACGGTTGTACAATATCCTCCCAGCAAGTATAAGAAATAAACCCGGAATTCTCGATTGTAAGTCGAGAACGAATCCGACTGTACTACCGTGACCTTAGGGTCGGGTATGTAGACCTGTGGGCTGTTCCAAGCAACAGGCTGTTGGACCAAGCTCTCACACGTCAAGCCTGGCCCCGGGCCGGGCTTGGGGAGTAGCAGAACTCCCAGACCCTCATCCAGGTACAGCTAGTCCAGGTTGTATAATACAACAATACTTCTTGAAGAGAATAAAATATTTTCCTTGCACTGATTAGGTTAACAGCACAACTTTGCATTGCATGACCGTAAGATTTTAGTAATTTTAGCATGCTAAAGTAACTAAACTGTGTACTGTGATAAGTATCATCTTTCATATTTAACTCCAAGTAATTGTACAAACCGTTTAACTATATTAATGCATCATAAAGGTTTTAATAGTACAGTATATAACTATCAATATTTTATTTGGTCACCCTATCATCAAGACCTGCCGCGTCTTCTGCCACAGAAGCAGCTGTCTCTCGTGTGTTGTTCAATCCAGGAGAGGTAGTTTGTGACCCGAGTGTAGACTCCAGGGTAGCCCCGCCGCCCGCACCCATCACCCCAGGACACTACACCTGTTGGCCAACACTCCAGTTTAGTTCATGTGGTGGTTAGTACAGTCGAGAAAAAGTAGTCTTCTACATCCTCAGTTTCTTGGAAAGTGCAAAATGTTAACGTTGCTTTTGTTATTGTCGTAGTATTGGATTATATTATAAATAAATAGACGCTTTGTAACAACGAGTTTCATTGGTCAAAACACCACACACTGGTTTATATAATTCACACTGCTATCGAAAGAAAAGTAATGTAGAACAGTGAATCAGTGAATAAATATTATTATACGTAGATTAGTGAAAAATGGAGATGACTCTACTTTTGTGCTTAACCATCCTACAAACATCATGGCCCATCAGATGCGGTGTTATCATAATGTATGATAATAATCAAGTGTATTACTGGACTTTGTTTGATGGACTGTGCCTGTAATTGCTATATTTACGTTCACGTTTAATGGTCAATAATCACTTCCATTTGCCCCTAACATTCCTCTGAAGACCTAAACAAAATAGTTAAAAATGATTATAGATGTAGAAATAAATGGAATAGTGTCATGTAAATAGGCAATTGCGTGTCCCAACCTCATCGCGGCGGGATGATGCCAACGTCGTCGTGTAGCAGAGAGTAGTGTACCAACTCCGCCTCTTGATCCACACCACTTCTTCACAAGGTGGGATGTAACACACACACGAGAAACAACGGATGCAAGCTCAACAAGCCACAATATAAGACTCTAAACAAGAGATGCTTTTTCACCCATAGGGGTTATAAACCCGTGGAACTGCTTACCAGCCGAAGCCGTAAATGGCAAAACACTACCGAACTGTAAGACCCAGCTTACAAAAAACATCAGAACCAAGGGGGGGGGGGGAGAGGGGAACCTTCGGTGGGGAGCCGGTCGGCCGAACGGACAGCACACTGGGCTTGTGGTCCCGGGTTCGATCCCGGGCGCCGGCGAGAAACAATGGGCAGAGTTTCTTTCACCCTATGCTCCTGTTACCTAGCAGTAAAATAGGTACCTGGGTGTTAGTAAGCTGTCACGGGCTGCTTCCTGGGGATGGAGGCCTGGTCGAGGACCGGGCCGCAGGGACACTAAAGCCCCGAAATCATCTTAAGATAACCTCAAGAAGATAACCTTTGATAAGTCGTCGGCTTTCTATCCACGTCGAGGCCACTAGATTGTCATTGGCCCTCAGGGAAATCAGGTATAGCTTTCCTCCCAAATGCTGCAGCATTCTCATCTACGTTGTTGGAGAAACAACCAATGACGGAATTTGTACAAATTGTTTGCCCATTAGAGCGATGAACGTTTTACAAAGCATATAATATTTTCGTTTAATATTTATCATATGGAAGTGCATGTTGAGAATAGGATAATCTGCATATGACAGTAAATTACATGCATAATATAATCGGACATTTCCCATATTTGTAGTCTGTCTCCCTGTCTCTGTCTCTGTCTCTCTCTCTCGTTCGTAATTATTTGATCAGCTTGTATTACTGAATATTGGGGTGTAATTAGGTTTTGATACTATTTGTCTTATAAAGTATATCAACTATTTTCGCGAAAGTAAATATTTGCAACCAATTTTAACTTGAAAAAACGTTTTGTGTGTTGATGTTGTTAACTAAAGTGCGACGACAATCGATCGAGCGTTTAGTGTGATGTCACGTCGTCTGCCTCAACAGACAAATGCCAATACGTTAAATTATCATCTGTTTTATCGTCCACATAAAAGGTCATTAAACTATTAACCACCAAAATAGAGCCATCTCCCTGGTTCACTAATCTACATATATTCATTTATGTTCAGTCCTACATTATTTTCCTTTTGGTAGCAGTGTGAATTTTATAGATACCAGTGTTGTTGTTGTTGATTTAGGGGCGACGACAATTGTGGGATCGGATGCGCCCCAGCGAACCCGTGAAGGGTTAATCGCGAAGCTTATAAGCTAAATGAATGTCGCTTATCAGTGGAAACTAATGTGCCTCGCGGTACATAAACGCACAGATGATTGGCGAGCCCCAGGAGTCCCTCAGGGTGACAAGCACCGGCCATCACAGAGAACACTGGGTAGCAAAATAACAAACTCGGCCCCCAACTAAAACGCAAACAAATCATCCAGTGCCCCCCCCCCCCGGCAGAGCAGAAGTTAGCCGCCCACCATGTCTGAGGGAACACCAGGAGCCCACCACGGCTGAGGGAACACCAGGAGCCCACTACGGCTGAGGGAACACCAGGAGCCCACTACGGCTGAGGGCACACCAGGAGTCCACCACGGCTGAGGGAACACCAGGAGCCCACCACGGCTGAGGGAACACCAGGAGCCCACTACGGCTGAGGGCACACCAGAAGCCCATCACAGCTGAGGGCACACCAGGAGTCCACCACGGCTGAGGGCACATCAGGAGTCCACCACGGCTGAGGGAACACCAGAAGCCCATCACAGCTGAGGGCACACCAGGAGTCCACCACGGCTGAGGGAACACCAGGAGCCCATCACGGCTGAGGGAACACCAGGAGCCCACTACGGCTGAGGGCACACCAGAAGCCCACCACAGCTGAGGGCACACCAGGAGTCCACCACGGCTGAGGGCACATCAGGAGTCCACCACGGCTGAGGGAACACCAGGAGCCCACCACGGCTGAGGGAACACCAGGAGCCCACTACGGCTGAGGGCACACCAGAAGCCCACCACAGCTGAGGGCACACCAGGAGTCCACCACGGCTGAGGGAACACCAGGAGCCCACCACGGCTGAGGGAACACCAGGAGCCCACTACGGCTGAGGGCACACCAGAAGCCCACCACGGCTGAGGGCACACCAGGAGTCCACCACGGCTGAGGGCACATCAGGAGTCTACCAAAACCCACCAGCTCCCAGCACCTCTCGACCAAGCCGGCGAAGGACATCGTCACGCCACCCGAAGAAAAAACCAGAAAAGCCAAAATTTATTAACTATCCTGTGACCCAATGCGATATGTGCGCCATGTGTGTTAACAAACAGGATCGTTGAATAGGGATGCCAAAAGGCAGTATCATAATCCAAAATCGCGAAACAGAACGTGATCCGGCGGCTCCCAGGCGGAGCAACAGCCCAGGCGTCAGCTCGTCGTCATGGTTGAACCAGGAGTCTTATAAACCAGTGTGTTGTGTTTTGGCCAATGTGATTCATTGTTACAAAGCATCTATTCATTCATAATCTAATCCATTACTCTAACAAAAACAAACCCGGTGTTGTCATTTTGCACATTCCACAGACTTAAGGGGTAAAGGAATACTTTTCTTGACTGTGCATAGTACACCATCTTCCACTGCCCTCAGTTATCCAAGTATCCTGATTCTTGCACATCATCACGGTGAATGAGCACTCAATGAATTTCTTAAGCTTAGTGAATGCTATGTATATCATACATGGGAAAATTAAATGTGTGTTTGTGTTCTTTATCATGTTACTTTTAATTGTGAATAAAATGAAGGTAACTGAAAATATGCAATTTATTTAGCCAAGAGATCATAAGAGAGATAAAAATATTTATAGAACACTAATACTGTACTATAAAAGAAAAATGAGTTTATACCTATCACGTCCATCTTGCCATCCTTGCCTTGCCAGAGTAAGCCGCCTCCACTGTCACCCTGAAAGTCAAAAATACACTAGATCAAGGATCTAAATACGGTTTTTCCTCGTACATTAGTCAAATTGATTTGTGGATGAAGGATGAAGGCTCTTCATCCTTCTGGAGAGGATGAAGAGCCTCATTTGCCTCTTCAGCCTCATCGTGGGGCAACCGTTCAGTGGCCCCACACACACACAGGGAATTATCAGGGGAAGTGCCAAGCCATTACGACTATATAGCTCATGGAAGGGATCAGGATAAGGATTTGGGATGAGACGGGACTGATGACGTCCGAACATCTCCAGAACAAGTGCTTTGCTCACGTCTCAGTTCTAACCACAATTCTCTAAATGCTTCACAAACGTACTTCAAATACAAATAATCGCCAACAGAACCTAAACACCTAAGCTAACCTAACCTACACCTAACTAAACATATAATTTTTATGTATTTTAATATTAATTTATATATTAGAACAAACCAATTTTTAATACACCGCATGTTAAAGTTTATGAATGAATCTGGGGAGGACGGCCGCTGGTATAAATAGTCTAGTGTGAGGACGGGTTGCATAAACAAGGACCCAAAGTCCTTCCATATTTGAGTTTGATTCCGTAGCTGCTCCTTCCCGGGGTTCGCTTCCACGGGTCATTAGAGCCCTCGGATCCTCTTATTTTTGAAGGTTTCCATTGTCATGCCTTTTTTTTTCTTCTTCTTCGGTTCGGGTGGACCTATTTTTGTTTTTTTGGATCAGGACCTCGATTCCTTGATGGTTCCCAACTCGTATGAGATAAGGTCGGCTAAACTTTTTTGGTTACCATACAAAGTCCCAGATTCTTCCTGTTCTGCAGACCATCCATTGTTTTCCTTGGAAGCTTGGCATGATTTTTACCATATCCAGAAGGTTAAGTGGTGGGAGATTAGTTGCATCTTCCATGTTTTCTTGCACAGTGCATATTTTGCATCGTTGGACAATTGTTTGTTTGATTTTTTGAGCCCAGATTGCAGAGGATCACAGAGCCTGTACTCACTTGCAGCTGTTTAGCGCATCTGGGATGTGGTTATCTACAAGGCAGCATGGATGTTTTGCTTCGGTGCCTGATCTTACAGCTCTGATATCTGTGGTTCCAGCTTTTACAGCCTTGTCCTAGTTACTCTCTCCCCTTCTCTGGGAGGCGGTGGTGAACATTTTGGTTGCTTGTCACGCATGCCAGCTGACCATGCTCCCTTAGGCTCTGGAGCCGACTTGATTACTAACCCTTTTGACCACCGTACCCTTACATCTTCCCTTTTTCCTGACGAGGCTGTCTCTTCAATGCTTTCAGCTGTGGCTTCTGCTTTCCAGCACTTCAGTCGAAGTCCTCACATGGCTTTGTTTATGATTATTCAGGATTGGCATAAGGTGGAGACCGATTCTGAGGTTTTAGCTTTTTTTCTTTCTGTTACTCTTCATTCATTCTTTGACTCTTCAGCATCATTCTTAGGAATTGTGGAAGGGTGCTTCGTTTCGTTATTTTGCGCCAGCCCATTTGTGGTTTGGGCATTTATCGCAGTGTCAAAGGGGGTGGAATGTAGTAGCTCATTTTACCAATTCCTGGTCCCACGATTTGTGGGCCTTCAGGGTCGTGTCTCAGAGTCTTTAGTGTTGTTGGTCCACTATCACCCATCTCTAGATTCAGGGATCTTGGGTCAGGAAGCCTCCCCTCAGTTCAGGTTAGTCACAGCAACTTGGTTGGACTCTATCAATGGTTGAGCTAACCCCCCCTTTCTTCTGTGAGTATTCTGATTGTTACCAGTCCATAAGCAGGACTCAATGGATGGACCTTCAGTATATTCTCGACCTTTCGGGATTGAAAAACGTTTTTGCCTGTCTCATTTTCTGCTTGACCACATTAACTAATTGTTACCTTATTTTACAGGTAGATTCCTGGATGGTGTCCCTGGACTTTAAGGATTCACACTATCACACTCCTATTCACGAGAGATTAGGGTTTCTTGTAGGGGCATTTTCGCTCGGATTTGACTCCTTGGATATTTACCAGGTTAGTGGGGTATCTATAAACCAGCTACTTGGGTGTTTGTAACTTAGCCTTTCTCAAGTTTAGACTTTCAGCCAGAACATGACTGCTAGACAGGTATCTGGCTAGCAGGTTCAGGATTTTTGGTGAACTGGAGGAAGTTTCAGTTGGTTCCATCTCTGGTTTGGACTCTGTTTGGGATTCCTGATTGGTTTTCCTATCTCTGCCATGTATGGCTCTGCTCCACCTGCAGTGTTGTCACCATCTGGTGTTAGAACTACCCCGGATTGTGGTCTCCAGTTTCTTCTTCAGGCTGTTTAGAGTTCAGTTCCATGGAATTTTCCTCCTCCATTCCTCGATGTGTTTATTGACGCCTCGCCCCTGGACTGGGGTTTTAATTGTGGCCGGTATATTAGAAGGCCTCCCAGAGTCGCTAGGCCAGTTCCCTCCTACAAGTTCACGGTACCATGTGCGAGTTTGTGGTGGCGTAGCAGCCCTTTCGGAAGATTCGTTTTTCTCTGGGTTCTGTTCTCTGGCTCTATTCTGACTAATCTGCAGTGATTGAATGTTTAATTCATGGGGTATCACTTTTGTGTTTTCCCTCATTGGAGTTATTATGTGGGTAGTTGGCTCCTGAATTCTCGGAGTTTGGTTTTCGGTGCGGTTCAAGCGCAGTGTGTGTCCAACGTTCTTGGGAATGGTCTCCTGTTTCCATCCCATTTCCATGAAGTGAACTGTCGACGACGTGTCCTTCCGGTGGATCTGTGAGGTGTTTGATCGCCCGAGGTGGACCTCTGTGAAATGGCATAGAACCGGTAGCGTCCATCATATGTGGTTCTGTTCCTCAATCCTAAGTCTCTCATGGTTGATGTCTTTCACTCGGACTGGTCAAGATGGGGGGTTCATTTATCTCTTCGCTTCAGTTCAGGTTTTACTCCAGGTTTTGTCGAGACTGGAGACTTATACGTGCAGGGTGATCCTTCTGGCTCCTTGATGGCATCTTGTCACCAAGGATCCTGCACCTGCATCTTGCAACATGGCGATATTATGAATCGATCCGTGTTGTCAGATTGGGGAGCGGCATGCTCTCTTTTACGAAGGGGTCTGCTCTTTTTGCTCTGTTGGCGATTACGTAATTTACAGATTTCTATTTTTCTGATGAAGAATAAGATGATTGGCGTCCAGGGGGGATCCTTTTGATCATTGATTCGTAGTTTGTTTGCCCATGAGAGGGGGGTTGGGGATACAGCTCCAACCGGCCACTTGCTGTGGCCGGTTGAGGCTGTTTGTTGCTATCAACGCACCACTCGGACTTCTTCATGGGATGTATTGTTTGTTGATCCTGTTATCTAGGTTCCCTTATTCCAAGGCTCGTTTATCCCAGGTTGTCTGCAGTGTCATTAAATGTAGCAGTCTGCAGTTTACCCTTGGTTGTGGCTCTGGTTGAGTTTATGTCCCTGACCATGTTTTTTCTAGCATGTCTTGGGTTGATATCCGTCTCAAGGGTTCTGGAGGTCTAATGGATTCTAACGTCGGGTAGTTCTTGTGTTGTTCTTGGTCAGGTTTCCCATCCTGTGTTCCCATTTTCTTTTCGAGTCTAATTCGTCGCATTTCTCCTCCCTGGTCTCCTTTTTCTCTGTGGTTAGTTAGGAATAGGGAGACAACATTAGGCCTCTCCAGTTACCCCACATTAAATGTAATGAAACGCCTCTTTCTTGTTGGGCTTCGGTGGCTTCTTGGTCCTTCTCACCCTCCTCTTTTCAGGTGCATCAGTTGGTAGTTTTAGGCTCCAAACTCAATAGTGTGTACATGGGAGTCTGCAGTCCCGCGGTGCCATTACCACCTGGCAGTAGCCAGCTGTGACCAGGGGTCGTTGTTGTTGCTCTAGACTCATCTACTCGGGAGCAAAACCCCCGGGCAGCTCAGGCTATGGGAAGCTCGTAAGTGACCAGGGGGATGCGAACTGACTACTGGGTTGATTGTGTGTATTTGCTTAATTTTTCTTTTCTCTGTTAGCTTTGCAGTTGTCTATTTTGGTTTGCTTATTTTCTGGATGTTTCCATTGGTGAGGGTGACCTTAAAGACTCATCGGCGTCTCTGTGAAGGGTCCAGGTTATGTTTATAGTCTCCGGCAGGCTATTAACCTCTTGGCTAACTGATGTGGACCTAATCCCTCTGTAGACTCTTCTTTGCTTAAAGCCCATCTTTGGATATGGAGCTATTATGAACGTGAAGAGACTATAACAGTACTACAGCTCATCGTCAGATGCAGCACCCAATTTCAGCCAGCTGCTGAGTACATAAGTAAATGACTACCTGTTGTCAAAGAAGATATCTAAGGGGTAGTAATATGACAAGCTTCAATTATAATTTCATTCATAAACAAAAATTTTGGCAAAGACTGTGAAATTACTGATTTGGCTGGGAAAATATTGATTTGACTGACTTCTGACTGGGAAATTTGGTTACCAAGCTAGTAACCAAATCTCAATTCCAATCTGCAGGAACGAAGGGGGTTAAAAACACCTGACATAATTATAGTAATAAAACCCATTAACCACTTTGCCTGGGTACATCACTGAACTGCAGGTGGCAACACTCAATTCCGCTAACTCACATAAGGTTTAGTCCTCACTAAACATAAGACACTGTGTATCAATCACTTGAGAGCACTTCCTAAATTTCCTGTCTCTATAAAAATGCATTAACCTGCAATTCAAAAGTAGTCTAAAGTGAGTGAACATTTAATATTTAAGTATTCTTAAATAGCTGAGATTACACACCCAGTCAGCTTGAAATCTAATGCCTCACTGAGGGTTTAAATCCCTAGCTAGGGGCAGGTGCAGCCGGGTCTCCCTGATGGTGCCAAATTGTGCAAGGAAGTTAACATGTGCATGAGCGACGGTCTCGCTTCAAGCACATGTTCAATCCCCGACCGTCTAGCAAGTGGTTGGGCACCATTCCTTTCCACCCGTCCCATCCCAAATTCTTATCCTGACCCCTTCCCAGTGCTATATAGTCGTAACTGCTTGGTGCTTTCTCCTGATAATTCTCTTCCTTCTCTTTCTCCTAATCAATGGCACAGTGACAGTAGCTGGCTGGAAGTCATGTCCATCTCTACAGTTTCCTTCAATACTGCACATACCGTAATGATATCCTTATTATGTCTCTGGGTCATATTTCTTATTGCAGTCATCACCTCCATTTCTCGTCCCTAATCATACAGTTTTAAACGAACTGTTTCTCAGGGGAATAATAAATGCACTCGTGCGGTGATGGGAGTATTAAAAGTAATAGTAATAATAATAATAGAACTAGTAGCACTATTACTAAGAGTGAGAGTAGCTTACATGGCAGGAGTCTGTTCCGCCATGGACGTAGCCAGCACAGATCATGTTGTCGGTGATCTCGTGGGGATGGTAGCGGAGGGCTCGACACACTGGGTTCGAGAAAATGGGGAGGAGAGCCTCCTTCAGGGTGTCGGTGGGGTCGCCCTTCTCAGTCACCCGGCCCCATCCACTCACCACGCCCAGCTTCCCAACGTAATCACTATCTGCAAGTGTCAGTGGCGATGAGATGAAGCAGGAGCCCAGCTGGAGGAAGGACAGAAGATGCTGACAAGAAAGTTAAAGGAAATATCGGTCAGGGACAAGCCTATGTTACCGATATTGTTTACCTTGGCAGAGAGCCGTCACTTGGGCGCGTGTCTTATTCACATTTTATTTATATTTTTATCCTTTTATTAATATATACAAAAGTTGTTACATTCTTGTACAGCCACTAGCACGCGTAGTGTTTCGGACAGGTCCTTAATCCTATGTTCCCTGGAATACAACCCCGCCAGATCGTTTAACAACCAGGTTTACAACTTTACAACACACAAGTATCATCATTTTATGTTTTAGATAATACTCAGCATACTTTATGTGCTGTATGTTTATACTTTTTATAGGAACCATACGGTGCTTAATATGGACATTTTGCTTTAGTAACAACACGGGTGACTGTTGGATGACGAGAGGTTTAATAGGCATTACTAACTATCACCTTTACCAGAAATATTTAAATATTTACCTGACTGTTCATAAGCTCAATTAAAATATATATCTGAAACCTTGCTACACCAGCCAGCATAGCTTACAACACCTGCAAGTATAGCTTGCTACACCTGCAAGTATAGCTTACAACACCTGCAAGTATAGCTTGCTACACCTGCAAGTATAGCTTGCTACACCTGCAAGTATAGCTTGCTACACCTGCAAGTATAGCTTGCTACACCTACAAGTATAGCTTGCTACACCTGCAAGTATAGCTTGCTACACCTGCAAGTATAGCTTGCTACACCTGCAAGTATAGCTTGTAACACCTACAAGGATAGCTTGCTACACCTGCTAGTATAGCTTGCTACACCTGCAAGTATAGCTTGCTATACCTGCTAGTATAGCTTGCTACACCTGCAAGTATAGTTTGCTACACCTGCAAGTATAGCTTGCTATACCTGCTAGTATAGCTTGCTACACCTGCAAGTATAGTTTGCTACACCTGCAAGTATAGCTTGCTACACCTGCAAGTATACCTTGCTACACCTACAAGTATACCTTGCTACACCTGCAAGTATAGCTTGCTACACCTACAAGGATAGCTTGCTACACCTGCAAGGATAGCTTGCTACACCTGCAAGTATAGCTTGCTACACCTGCAAGGATAGCTTGCTACACCTGCAAGTATAGCTTGCTACACCTGTAAGTATAGCTTGCTACACCTACAAGTATAGCTTGCTACACCTGCTAGTATAGCTTGCTACACCTGCAAGTATACCTTGCTACACCTGCAAGTATAGCTTGCTACACCTGCAAGGATAACTTGCTACACCTGCAAGTATACCTTGCTACACCTGCTAGTATAGCTTGCTACACCTGCAAATATAGCTTGCTACACCTGCAAGTATAGCTTGCTACACCTGCAAGTATAGTTTGCTACACCTGCAAGTATAGCTTGCTACACCTGCAGGTATAGCTTGCTACACCTGCAAGTATATCGACCCTCACGGTTGATATCAACCCAATAATCAACCCTCACGATTATTGTGGGGATACAGTAAAATATTAGAGGCTAATACTTACCGGTTAAAGATGTAAGGTAACATACCGGTTAAAGATGTAAGGTAACATACCGGTTAAAGATGTAAGGTAACATACCGGTTAAAGATGTAAGGTAACATACCGGTTAAAGATGTAAGGTAACATACCGGTTAAAGATGTAAGGTAACATACCGGTTAAAGATGTAAGGTAACATTCCGGTTAAAGATGTAAGGTAACATTCTCTTTCAGATACAAAGAATATGAATTTGTGAGTCAATTTCGTCACATTCAATATCTGCTCTCAATGTAAAATTCTCAAGTTAAACAGTGCTTGAGAAAGGGAGTCTAGACACATGTATTTTTTGTTTTGTAAATATTTCCTGACATTAAAACAATTGCGAAGTAATGATAATTGTTGCAGGTAGCAAAGGGGCACTTTGATGTTACTGCAAGAATATACAGAATACACAGAGAAATCACAGTGACGTGATATATCAATGAGAAAATCCCCAGGAGCAGTGATGTGGGTTCGAATCTATGCACTGGGCGTTCCGAAACATTCCCAGACACACCCCAAGAATACCCAGCGCATAGATTTGAATCTTCATCACGGCTCCTGTGGATTTTCTCAATATACAAAATATTAGTGTGTGCAGAATGCAGGACCATTCTCATTCCAATTGGAACAATGTCAGGCCTATGAAATGCTTCTACACAAATGCCACAAGCCTAGAAATTTATTTTTACTCATTATGTTCATCATTGTGGGATTTAAGGCTTTGGTCTGTCCAGCCATATCAACAATAGCCATCAATACGTTGTGTCAGTGACCTAAACTCTCCCATTAATCACAGGAGTGCCACAAGCCAGCATCTTGGAACCTCTCTTATCTATCTGTAATAGAGAATGTCTTTGTCTGTCTGTCTGTCCAAGGGTGGAGACAAGACGCTTGGGGCGTCTTGTGTGGTGAGTCACAGGGTGGTCGAGGTCGACCCTCATGCCCCCTTTTAAGATGGTCGGCTCCTATTCCCATTCTCAGCGACTCTTATAAAGTGTGAAATGAGAGTGTGATTGTAGTGCTTACTTCAGATTTTCCAGCTGTTATCGACTTGGTTGCCAACATATGTACTTTCACAACCCAGTGTACCTTTTCTATACACATCAATAAATATAACAGTGTCAGACCACGGAGAAAGAATTGAAACAGGAATTTCCTTAAGTACTTTCGTGTATTAATACATCTTCAGAAGGAATCATCAGATTCCTACATCTTCCATTAATACATCTTCAGAGTCCTTCTGAAGATGTATTAATATAAGAAAGTACTTAAGGAAATTCCTGTTTCAATTCTTCCTCCGTGGTCTGACACTGTCACATTTTTCATCATGTGTTAATTCTGGTGATTTACACACATAAATAAATATATAAATAAATAAGTATATGTGCATACACTGAGGCTGAGAATCTCGTCATTGGGATCAGCGAACCATGAGGACAAGAAGACGCAATTGAAGAGGAATTCCATCTTCCGGGATACCATCAAATTTTCAGGAAGGTCAGAACAACATTTTTGAGATTATATGTGACTCTCAGGCAGGTGTGACAGCTGTTTCATACTCAGGTACAAGGTGACCATCCCCCTCTGTAGTACAGGGAAGATCTAGGCAGCTTAGGCAAGGTACAGGGCCTGACGGCTGAGTGGACAGTGCTCGAAATTCGTAGTCCTAAGAATATGGGTTCGATCCACGGCGGAGGCGGAAACAAATGGACAGAGTTTCTTTTACCCCTGATGCCCCTGTTCACCTAGCAGTAAATAGGTACTTAGGAGTTAAACAGCTGCTGCGTGCTGCTTCCTGGGGATGTGTAACGAAGAAAGGAGGTCTGATCGAGGACCGGGCCGCGGGGACGGTAACCCCCGAAATCATCTCAAGATAAAATAACCATTCAAAATGAAGATACACACAATTAGGCCACCACCAACAGCTTGAAGAAACCATTAACTGGGTAAGTACAAAACTAGTGGTCAGATCTTGTCTTGAAAGTTATCTTATCAAGTTATCTTTGTCAAGATAACATTTCCAGTGATGGAAATTCCTGTATAATCTTTTGTGAATGTCAGTATTTCTCGGAACTAACAACTAGCTTGTTATTAATAGTTATTGTTGGTGATAACACTGCAGAGTGATTGAATGTTAAGAACCCTAGTTAACTCTGTGTGGAAGCTGGTGACGACTCTTGTGTTGATCATAGCAGGTGCAGGCTCTTGTGTTGATCATAGCAGGTGCAGGCTCTTGTGTTGATCATAGCAGGTGCAGGCTCCTGTGTTGATCATAGCAGGTGCAGGCTCTTGTGTTGATCATAGCAGGTGCAGGCTCTTGTGTTGATCATAGCAGGTGCAGGCTCTTGTGTTGATCATAGCAGGTGCAGGCTCTTGTGTTGATCATAGCAGGTGCAGGCTCTTGTGTTGATCATAGCAGGTGCAGGCTCTTGTGTTGATCATAGCAGGTGCAGGCTCTTGTGTTGATCATAGCAGGTGCAGGCTCTTATGTTGATCATAGCAGGTGCAGGCTCTTGTGTTGATTATAGCAGGTGCAGGCTCCTGTGTTGTTTATAGCAGGTGCAGGCTCTTGTGTTGATCATAGCAGGTGCAGGCTCTTGTGTTGATCATAGCAGGTGCAGGCTCTTGTGTTGATTATAGCAGGTGCAGGCTCTTGTGTTGACTATAGCAGGTGCAGGCTCTTGTGTTGTTTATAGCAGGTGCAGGCTCTTGTGTTGATCATAGCAGGTGCAGGCTCTTGTGTTGATTATAGCAGGTGCAGGCTCCTGTGTTGATTATAGCAGGTGCAGGCTCTTGTGTTGATTATAGCAGGTGCAGGCTCTTGTGTTGATTATAGCAGGTGCAGGCTCTTGTGTTGACTATAGCAGGTGCAGGCTCCTGTGTTGATTATAGCAGGTGCAGGCTCTTGTGTTGATTATAGCAGGTGCAGGCTCTTGTGTTGATTATAGCAGGTGCAGGCTCTTGTGTTGACTATAGCAGGTGCAGGCTCCTGTGTTGATTATAGCAGGTGCAGGCTCTTGTGTTGTTTATAGCAGGTGCAGGCTCTTGTGTTGACTATAGCAGGTGCAGGCTCTTGTGTTGATTATAGCAGGTGCAGGCTCTTGTGTTGACTATAGCAGGTGCAGGCTCTTGTGTTGATTATAGCAGGTGAAGGCTCTTGTGTTGATTATAGCAGGTGCAGGCTCTAGTGTTGATTATAGCAGGTGCAGGCTCTTGTGTTGACTATAGCAGGTGCAGGCTCCTGTGTTGATTATAGCAGGTGCAGGCTCTTGTGTTGATTATAGCAGGTGCAGGCTCTTGTGTTGATTATAGCAGCTGCAGGCTCTTATGTTGATCATAGCAGGTGCAGGCTCTTGTGTTGATCACAGCAGCTGCAGGCTCTTGTGTTGTTTATAGCAGGTGCAGGCTCTTGT